TGCACTGCGTGCCCTATGCACTGAAGCTTCTCGCGGAGACGGAGGGAGGTATCGAGGCGCTGCAGAGACTCAAGCTTGTGTTGTACGGCGGCAGCAGTTGTCCCGATGACTTGGGTGATCGACTCGTTGAGGCGGGCGTGTATCTCGTCGGACACTATGGGGCGTAAGTTATCTCTACTCCCGGCCAGCTTGAATCTTACTGACTTTGACACAGCACCGAGATGGGCCAGCTCATGACCTCGTTCCGCGAGCCCGGGGACAAGTACTGGAACTACATGCGGCCCTTGGCATCAGCCAAGCCGTGGCTGCGCATGATTCCCATCGCAGGCGACGTCCACGAGTGCGTCGTTCTTGACGGTCTTCCGTCAAAAGTTATGTCCAACTCGGACGACCCGGCTCCCAACTCCTACCGCACCCGTGACACTTTTGTTCCTCATCCCACGATCCTAGACGCCTGGAGGTACCTAGGCCGTCTTGACGACCGTGTAACCCTGGTGAACGGCGAGAAGGTCCTGCCCATCCCCTACGAGAACCACATTCGTGAGCACGAGCTCGTCCAAGAAGTCGTCGTCTTCGGCGTCGACAAGTCTATCCCCGGCCTCGTCATCATCCCCAGCGAGAACGCAAAGGGTCTCTCAAAGCCCGACATTCTCAAGACCCTGAGCCCCGTCATCGAAGAAGCCAACGCCCGAGCCGAGGCCTTTGGCCGCGTCTCGCCAGAGATGATTAAAGTGGTAGACATTGGCACAGAGTACCCCCGCACGGACAAGGGCACCGTCATCCGCGCCGCCTTTTACAAGCAATTCGCAGACCTCATCGAGGACGTCTATAGACGCTTCGAGGCACCCAAAGACGACGTCACCGGTGGCGAGCTGCTCACCCTCGACCTGCCGCAGCTCCAAGACTACCTCCTCAACCTCTTCAGCTCGACGTTGGGCTTCTCCAAGGTCGAAAAGGACACCGACTTCTTCGAGGCCGGCGTCGACAGCCTCCAAGCCAGTACCGCGCGCGGCCATATCCAGCGCGGCGTCGACCTCGGCGGTAAGACCCTGGGCCAGAACGTCGTCTTCGAGTATCCAAACGTCCTCTCCTTGTCCAAGCACGTCTACGCCCTCCGCACAGGCGAATCTGTAGATGCCGAAGACGAGATCGAGGTGATGAAGAAGCTCATTGCAAAATACTCTGACTTCTCCGAGCGCACGCCGGGCAACATCACCCCAGAAGGTGAGACCGTCGTCCTCACAGGCGCGACGGGCTCCCTCGGCGCACACCTCCTCGCCCAAGTCGTCCGCCAACCCTACGTGAAGGCAGTTTACTGCCTCGCACGCGCCGCCTCCGCCGAAGAAGCCGAATCCCGCGTCCTCGCCTCCCTAACCCCCAAGGGCCTCAGCCTCTCCGAAGCAGACAAGGCGAAAGTGCGCTACCTGCCGACGAACCTCGGCCTTCCTGACCTAGGCCTTCCCGCCGACGCCGCCGCCGAGCTCCGCCGGTCCCTGACGACGGTGATTCACTCGGCCTGGGCCGTCAACTTCAACCTTGGCGTCGCGAGCTTCGAGGCGCAGCACATTCGCGGCGTGCACAACCTGCTCAACTTCTGTCTTAGCACCGAAACGGTCGCGCCCGCAAGGTTGTTCTTCTGCTCGTCTATCTCAGCAGCGGCGGGCACGCCTATCCCAGCGAGGGTGAAGGAGACGTACGTTGAGAAACTGGAACACGCGCAGAACATGGGCTATGCCCGGTCCAAGGTCGTTACGGAGCACATCGTCAAGGCTGCGGCGACCAAGACGGGTATGACGGCGAGGGTTCTGAGATTGGGTCAGATTGTGGGCGACTCAGAGGGTGGCGTGTGGAATCAGACGGAGGCTATTCCGTTGATGATTCGCAGCGCAAAGGTCATCAAGGCGCTGCCTGCTCTGGAAGAGGTAAGCTTTTACTCTCACTACATGACGAGAGATCATAAGGAATGAATCAAGTGCTAACCAAGAATCTCCTGCAGACCCCCTCATGGATGCCAGCCGACAAAATGGCCCTCGCCGTCCTCGAACTCGCGCGCCTCACCGGCCCACGCTGCACGTCCTGCGGCGCACCACCCTCCTCTCCCGACGACGCGGACCTAGACCTCGTATATCAGGTCCAGAACCCGCGCCTGTTCCACTGGACCTTCGACTTCCTGCGAGCCCTCCGCGACGCGGGGCTCGAGTTCCAGATCGTCTCGCAGCGCGAGTGGGTGCGCCGCCTCCGCGAGTCCGACCCGGACCCGGAGCAGAACCCAACGTACAAGCTGTTGGGCTTTTTTGAGGACAAGTACGACAACGACAGGCCCGGTCGTCAGGGTCTCGTGTTTGAGACGGAGAGGACGGGCCAGAGGAGCGCTGCTGTCGGGGACGGGTGGGATGTTGTTGGGAGCGGGCTTGTTGAGAGGATGGTGAGGTGGATGGAGACCCAGTGGTGATGTGTAGGGGGTGTTATACCATGTGTGGACTCATTATTGGCGTTTGACATATTGTAACAAGGCTTTTGAATTGTAGTGCTGTTTGTCTGGATATCATGACTATAAGAGAAATTGGAGTTTCTACATTTCGATCAAGTCTGCCCGCAGAGATATTAGCACGATTCTGGTTTTCTATGTCATTACAGATCTTACAATGAGGGGTTAATTGAGGTTGGGCATGGAAATAGTTCGATATTGCAAACTTTACCCCAAGGAGATGTTCAGGAACGCGGCGGCTGGTCGGCAGTCTTGGGAGTTGTGAGCTGTGAATTTTCGAGACCAGCCGGTGAAGCAAGACACCTTCTCATAAGCGCAGCCAGTCACAGTGATCCCCTCTTGCAGGAAGGTCTTGGAACGGATTCCCAGCCATTGCGCGCCACGAAGAGCGGTAAGACGCATGCTACCGTAGGGGACTCGGACATCCGAAAGCCACATCACCAACCTTGAAAGATTCAGAGGTCGTCTCCAATTCCCATCTTCTTCTTGACTTTCTCTCTTACGCAGCGTCTTCACCCATAGTAACTATTAGATACCGAAAGATTGAAGGGCCATGCATATACCTAGACTCGTAGCCCTGGGCGCAGTCCTCACGACAGCGGTCAAAGCCTTCACCCCGCTCAATATTACGGCGCTCTCAACCCGCGACGGCTACTCCGTCATCGAATGCTGGCAACTCACCTCCATCCCCGTCGAAGCCCGCGCGGCTCTCAACTACGCCGTCGGCGGCGACCTGACGCGCGCAGAGTGGTCCATCATACAACCCAGGACGACGGTGGGAGAGGCCTGGGCGCCGGCTGTGCAGTGAGTCCTTTTTCTTCTTGCATTGCATCTCTCTCTCTCTCTGTGTGTATGTATGGGAGGGATTTCCTTGTTCATGAGACGACCGAGCTTCATTCTCATCTCTTTGTTTTTGTTGAGCTACTCTTCGAAATTTGATGGACAAGGAACAAGGAGGACTCGAATAGTGCGACCTCACGTCAATCTTTTCTCAGTATCGAAAACTCATGACTGACTTGATCCCCGCCAACCTTGTACAGGCTGACAGTCATCCTCAACGGCCTAATCCGCATCACATCGCCAGCACCGCCAAGGAACGCGTCGCAGGCCACACCGTGGCTCTCGCCACCAGGAGGCAGCAGTGGCGACGAGGCATCAACACGTCCGGCGCAGAGGACGGCGTACATTCAGCCAGGCACGGTATCCTCGTCGCTCGTCATCGCGGCGGACTTGAAGAACGCGAGCGTGCACGCGGGACACTTTACCGAGTTCCCCGGCGACGAGCCGACGGTGCTGGTGCAGGTGCCGTTTGCCGGGAACGCGGCGCCGGAGCATGTTGTTCTGGGAGAGGGGCCGTGTGAGAGGGGGAGTTGGGGCGCCGCGATGGGCGGTGGCATCTGACCGATGACCACATGTATCGAAAGAAGGACTTGTGTTTTGCTTGTGATAATGGCGCTCACTCGTGTCGTAGAATACTAACAGTTACTACCTATGACCGTGTATGCAGCTTATGATCCGTCCCGAAGTCTTTTCGGACCAGCGGCACGCCTTGTTGAGATGACTGCCTTAGAGCGGGAGAAGTGAGCGCTATCCCCAGGGAACAATGTCATGGCGCGAGGATTAGAGGCTCACGTTGGCCGACAATGAGACTGAGACTGGGACAGGTACGCAGAGAATGTGCAGGAAAACGTAATGGCCCAGGAAGCATGATTTTGGCCTGAGCCTAATATTGGGCACACGAGTGAGGCGGCAGGGAAGGGAAGCTCGGATTTGAACTGATTTAGGCTCACGGGTTTTGGGTCCTAGCCTTTGGTGCCTTGGTGCTTTACTTGGATCGCCGCTTGGTCGTGTTCGTGGACCGTGTGAGTGATGCATTGAAGATGGCAAAAAAGTCATCCGAATTTCCCAGGTCTACAGACGACGGCGCGGCCGTTCAGTACGTGTGCTCTGCTCACTCGGAATTGTGATCGACTTGGCCATGCCGGGACATCCGCTGTTAGTAAACGAGCGTACGACACGTTGACATAAACTTAGAGATGATCCTTTCGGATAAGGAAATTCACCATTTGTGTGCGTCATGTTTTGTCCCTCTATCGGTGTTCGAGGCACTTTGGCAGTTTGACTGCCAGATATGGGATTAATCGATCATAGTGCAAGAGTGATGGCGCGGACAGGTGATTTCGTGAAGGTCTTTTGCCTCGGGGACTGGATACAACGGCACGGCTGAGACAATAGCAATGGCCGAGGTCCCTTTCCGCGTCGCAAAATTCGAACACAGTAGTCTTGCTCTTGTGCTGCTGTGGTGTGACGGGGACTGACGGCCAGGCCGTGAATCTGTGCGACTGTGCTATTCAGGGTCGACCGTCGAAGACAGAGGGACACAGCGCGAACATTCTCTTTCTTTTCCGTACGTCCAGCAGAGGACGCGTGGATGACCGAAGAGCAGACGAAATCACGAAGTGACAGAAATCAAATGCCCAGGCGGCAGCACCAGAACCTCGGGATGTGACAGTTACGTGACACACGCCCGTAGCCTCCAACAATCTCGCAGCACGGCACGCACGGGTGATCTCGTGGCATGTTTGGCGTAGTAGCGCAGGCTCACTGAAGCATTTCCGTAGGGTAACATTGGTGGTCAGCAACCAGAAACGAATTCAATATTCACAGTATAGCCTGTATAGGAAGATCTCGGCAGTGTACGGGAAAGGGAGGGGCCTAAAATTCCACGATTTGCTCATCTATCCGCACTTTATCCTTCTCTTTCCCGCCCCGCACGGGGAGGATAGGGTGCTGACAGCGATCATCCCGGTAATGGTCCACGGGCGTGCTCGATGAGGCATGCGGACCCGGCTGAGAGCCTTGGAGGGGTGGGATCGAGAGAGGGAGGGGAAAGATTGATCTCATCGGCGGGGGTCGGATGGGGGTCAGATAGGTCAAGTAGGGCAGACTTCGGACTCTGGAGTTTGCTGGAACACCAGGGCCAGTTTCTCTGGAATGTGGAAAAAGCAACTCACAGCGGGAGGCATCTCGGCAGCCTGTGATAATGGCGTCGTCAATGTCTTTGCGGTGCGCTGGTGACACGCAGCCCTGGCAGCCACACGCTGTTGGTAATAGTTTGATCGCCAGAACACACAGCAGCAGCACAGTAGTTAGTGGCAGGCTCAGCAGCAGGAGGATTCACGACTGCCAGTCGGAAATAGAACGCATGTCTCAAGACGGCAGGGCCAGGCGGCTGCGTAGTTCTGGCTGGCCCGGCCTGGTTCGCGCAAGGCCGTTCAAGCCCAGTCTGGCCAGTCCAGTCCCAGTCGCAGTGAGCGTGACCTCGTGGTCTCGAGGATCATTGCCAGTTCTGGGACTGGTGGCTTCGTGGAGGAAGTGACTGAAGTCTGGATGGGTGTGTGTGGTCGATCGTAGGTGGCTGTGGTCCCGCGCTGGCGAACCCGTACGGAATTGGAGGGTCGGACGAAGAACGGAATCCAACGACCTGATTCAGATTATAGATTTGGATTTCCCCGTGTGATGATTGGTGCTGACGGGACTGTTTGGAAACTTTGCAGTTGGTTGATAAGGTTGGTCGGCATGGATATAGCTTCATCGTGCGGTGGCTGAGCAAGACTGCGTGGGTTCACGAAGGACTCATGCGATCTTCTCATTCGCATTATTGAGGCTGGCCTAAAGGCTTCGCCCTCGTGTGAAGTATCTCTTGTAAGCACTTGGTCTCCAGACAGACGAGGATGAGAGCCTGTCGCATCTCAGGCGCGCGAGATAGACGACAATCTACCCATCCATCCATCAATCGATAATGAGATGGGATGGATGGATGGATTCATGTACGCGAGAAGCGAATCGCTGCCCACGGGGTCGGGTATGTACGATGACCGCTGGGTGACCTCCTCCTGGGCCGGCACGTCAGGTCGCAGCAGGCGGCATACATTCAGGTTGACGCGGTAGGCGATGATTGATCAGGGACGATGCGACGGCGTCCAATCCAAGGGTCAATTGACTCCTGGAGTGGTGTGGTAGCAGAAGCCAAAGATGCGTGTGAGTGATGTGTGAGGGTGTGAGTGAATGCGTGTGTGAATGGAGGATGAGTCTGACATGTGAAAAGGAGATCAGGGACTTCCTGTCTCACTCTCAACCACTGAAGCTCAGAGTAGAGCTATCAACTGCGCCGCGAATGACAAGGCCGCTGAATCCTGCAACGGAAATAGCACCCCCGTCCAATAATCTGAGCCTTTGGTAACGTGGTAAGGGGCCTCTCATCCGTCAAGAGACGCGCTCTCAGAGTCGAGATCAAGCTGGGAATGAATGACACTTGTGCTAGCTACCGTAGTCTCACACCAGCTTTGCCTCTGCAGCTGCTGCGCGCACTCACTCATGTGACTATTTCCTTGTCATCCCAATGTTCCTCCTCTGTATGGTTCTGAGCAACGGGCATGTTGTTTTGGCTTGTGATACGTGATCCTCGCGATACCACCTCGTCGTCTCGTGAAGGCTACATAGTACCAAAGTAAGAGGTGCTCATATTGCCTTTTACGGAGAGACGCATGATGATGGGGGTGGGTGAAAGACAATCCTCATAATTCATTCGTTCATGCTCACTGGCATCGAACTCACTCGCTTTCATTAAGCATTTAGCATTACAACCTTTTACCAAAGAGACCAGCCCTAATCAAGCCCTCCTTCGCAATATTCTGCCCCTCCTTCACGAAAATCCCCAGGAAAGCAGAGCCAGCCCAAAAGGAGGGGTGAAGGCGCAACACAGTGACACACACACACACAACGTTCGACTCATTCTTCCACTCCGCACACACACCACTTGCTCCGCCAAACTCCATGCCTGGACCTTACCCGGCGCTCTAGCGACATCGGCGGTTGTGCGGGAAGAATCCCAGTGAGGGGCCGCCGTGGGAACTCTAGACTTTCTTGACATGGGGGAGAACCTTGCCGCCCTGCACGACGAGCCGACAGCGTCTCGCCTTGACTCTCTTTTTCAATCGTTCTTGACCGTGAATGCACGCTCATCCAACCCACTTAAAGCCAAGGGAGAGTCAAAACGTCGTACTTTTCACTGTCAAAAGTGAGCGAGCTAGCGGGTGGACCGAAACGTCAGAAGAAACGAAGCGAGACGTTTTGCTGGTTTGATTAATACAAACAAAACATTCATAGTCGCGCCAACCGAGGCCTGACGCCCAGCTTTTTCAGCTCTCGGCTCTTTCATTGTTCAGTAACAGCGTTCCTCAAAGAAAAAGAGCCGAAGCTCATGCCGGCTGGGAGTGCCTCGTTCTCAGGTAGAGAAAGGGTACGGTATGCTCACTGACATGACTTGAGATTCAAGGCCCGCCATCCCGTTCCCGCCCGTCAATTCACGCAGCAAAGTGAAGCTAGAGAAGCAGCGCCGCCGTCCTACTGTTCTAGTCGCCGCGACTTAAACTCTCGGGCTGCTCTCCGGCCGTCTTAAGCTCCCAGGTCGTCTCTTCAATAGTGTCAAAGAGCTAGCCCTCATTCCATCTCCACGAGCCGTCGAACAGCGCATCAAAGGTGGAGTGATATCAACACCACGTCGCCGGGCCATCCTCGTCTCGAAATGGAGGCTTTTCCGTCAGGCCTTTGAATGCCCTCTTTCAATCACACACACAAACACGCGTTCAGCACACACTCTTCCAGTGACTACAGTTCTCATCTCATCTTCATTTACTCACTTTTCTCGTATCATTCATTTCCCCTCAATCTCATCATATCGATTCTCAACTCTGCCCATCTCATCCCACACGCGTCCACTCGTGCGTCACCGCTACTCCGACTGGGAGAGGCTTGGGAGGATTTAAGCCCCCTCCTCGGACGTTGTCGAGCTTTTCCTGCAACAACATCAGCGCTTTACGCAATTCAGGCCCTACAACCCTTTTCGTGTGCCAGGGACCCATTCCGCGATCCGCCGCCTCGCATGTGCAGTCTCTCACTTGCACGCAACCACGCGCATGAAGCCCATCATAGGATAGGTACCTAGCAAAACAGACAATAATTGCAGGCCAACTCTATGGTCCTGAGCTGTTCCTCTTACGGATGAAGGCCGAGTACGGTCTAGAAAAGGGTACCTACACTACACACTACACGAACCATGACACACAAGCACACACCAGGCGCCCCTCTCAGCCTCTCTTAGTCTTCTCTCCTTTCACCCAAAAAGAACATTAGCTGCATGAATAGAGAGGCGCCGCAACGCAACTTGAGACGACAACGTGAAAGATCAACGCGAATCCTCTATCCGTAAAGCGCAACGCCTCCCGCCAGCAGCGGGCGAGAGGGCAAAATTCACTGCCACCTGCATGCTGGAAGTGGATATTCTGTGCCTCTGCAAGTCTCTTGTGTTACTGTTTTGCTTCCCAAGTGCCCACCCACTGTGACTCGCCTCCCCCATCTTTATCATCTCCACCGTGTTGCGTCAAGAGGCCTGGAGGGCAACACAACGCCCAGAGGTTCTAGACTCGACTCGACTCCAGTCCGTCGCCGGTGGCTCGCCTTTAATGCTGCTTCTTCTAAACCGTCCAAGTTAGCACTTAGGTACCGCTCTCTCATCTCATCCCAAAGATGCGGTTTTTATCGCTGGGATTATCTCTTAGCGTGTTGCGCATCGCCGGGCGACTACATCATCGTCTCAAGTTTCGAAACTCTGCGACACGAAAGGCCCTTTTCCCTTTTCCTTTCCTGTCCTTTGGCCTCTGCCCCTCCCCCTCTTCTCTGTAGTTGGCGTACAGGCTTCTACCCTCCTCGGTTTTCTCCCGCTCTCTTGTCAAAGGACAAACCTGCGTCTGAAGAAAAGGTCGATCGGGACCTGGTGCCGGTGAAAACTGTGCAAAGGCGCTGCAGACTTGAACTTCTTCGGCCGCTGTTCACTTCTAATTCCCGATATATCACCGCGCCACTTTATTTCTGCTCATTCATCTTCGATCCGTGTTTCCCTGCCCAGTCCGCTCACGCAACTTGTCTCTTACACTTGTGTGGTTTTGAGACATGCATATTGAGACAGCCTTGGGACCTCGGAATCTAGAACTTGGAGCTTCTTGACATCGGCGGCTTGTCGTCTCATCAACAAGTTACAACCGCCCTTCGCCCACCTGGCCACCTGCTGCACCTGCAGCCTGTCTACTACCCCCCTCCCGTCCCGCAGCAGCACACGACTTTGGACTTCACACCCCCCCCCTCCTCGTCTGATCTTCTGGTCGCCGGCTTGCCCTGCTGCTCTTCAGACCGTTCAGTAAGGACTCAGTAGTGTCCCGTACGCGGTCTCTGCATTACCTCCCTCTCATTCTCTCTGCCCCGTTGATCCCAGTACGGCTACTTGTCGCCCTATAAACCTTCCCAGCCATCTACAAGAATTACATCCCTCACCCCTTCAACCCGTCTCCGCTGCCAGGCCCAGCACACATTTTCCAACCTTGACAAGACGGGAAAGACATTGGCATTGTTCAATCGTCGCAGTGGGCTTCCCGCATAAACCGACTCTTAACAACAAGCACCACCCCTAACCCACCGACGCCAACGAGAAAGACAAAAAAGCCAATCCGTACCGGGGGATAACCTCGCAGCTCATCCCGGCAGGCATAGCAGCAGCCACATCATCCACCCACGCATAAACGGCGATCAACCCAACCAAACAACTCCAAGCTTCTTTCTCGAGGCGGTGTCTGTACCTACATATTTCCATCCCGCGCCCTCCCTCCACCGTCTGTCTCTCTCCGGACGACCCCCCTTCTGCCGTCACCCCACGCTGCAAAGTCCTGGCGGGCAATGAAGAAGAAAGAATATCAACAACAGTCTCATTATCAGAAGCAAGACTGAGAAGAGAGAGAGGGCTCTGGTGAAACCAGCAGCTGCTAACGCCGCCCGCCTCCATACACTCCATCGATCGATACATCTCACATCCCCCTCCATTCCTCAGCAAGACATCCCAGGTCCCAGCTGCAGCACCACGAGACCCCATCGGCGCCTCACCGCAACATCCTGACCCAATCACGGCCCTCTAGCCCGCCCACGACGACAACTCCCCCTGCCACCCTCGACCGGGGTCTATCAAACCTAGCAGCACCAGGACCTCACGATCACCACACAAAATAGGCCCTGTACCCGTTCTCGATTCGCAATAGTTGCATCGTCCACTTCTGGCCCTGTAAGGACCTGCATCTCCCGCCTTTCAAAACAACAACACTTCCCTTCTCCTCCTGTACTGCGTAACCAAAAAGGGCCACGAACAGGGGGCTTTCCACGAGACGAACTGTCGAACCAGTACGCCAACGAGTCCACTCCGACACTTTTGTCGTCAGATCAACAGGAACCTAGAAACGGGGGACCCTCATCGGAGGGGTCTAGGTTTTTTTTCTCTCCTTTCGTTTATTGACCGCAACTTCACACACAATCGAACGCTCCGTTCAAATCTCGTACCTCATCTCCGCCTTTTTCTCACATCATCTCGTCAACTGGGGTTTATTTAATACAATAAACATCCTCCCCTCCCCCTTCCCCAGTGTCCCTGGGAGGCCTTTCCGCAAGCGAGATTCATCCCCTCGACTCGACGTCTTTACCTTCGCAGCTTGAAGCTTGGTTCCTAAAAGCTCGCTGGTCGGCATCGCGTTTCTTCCAACTCGTCACAGAAGTACAATAAGCGCAACCACCTTCGCTATCGCATCTCTTCCTTCGCCTGTGCTCGATCAAGTGAGGAGGGAAATCATCCAATGGCTTCATGACGAGGAATTCACTTTCTATCGTTCCGAGTTCTATTATACAAAAAACATCATATACACCTTTAGTCACAAAGCATTTTCAAACCCCGCCTGAAGCTTGCGTGAGAGAATATCTACTCATTGGACTCTTCTCACTGGCCAAACGCACAAACGCACAACAACACATATTCCCACATCGATAAAGACAACAAATACCACAAAACATGTCTCGCCTCTCACCCTTCCCCTCCAACATGACCTTCCGGACCGAGTCCCGCGCCAGCGTCGCCGCCTCCGACACGACGTACTACACCTGCGCTTACCAAAGCTTCCACGACGTAGAGCTCTACGCCCCGGGCTCCCCGCCCTCAAAGACCCCCGTCCCCGCCCCGACCTCGGCCCCGATCCGAGCCCCGGCGCCGGCCCCTTCACACTACCACCACTTCCCGTCACCGCACCCGCAACACCACAAGGACAAGGAACCCGAACCCGCCGAGATGCGCCGTCAAGACTCGGGCTACGAGTCCCTGCCCCCGCGGTCCTCCTTCTCCAACCCCCGTCGCACATCGACGGCCTCATCCTCCCAGTCCTCCTCCACGCCCGCCGCTGTCCCCCGCTCCCGTGGCCGTCCGACGGTGCGCCGCGCAGCAAAGACGAGCCCGTACCCGGCGACAACGGCACGTACTAGCGGAAGCAGTCTCTACCACCCCCAACAACGCCCACACGCCCAGCCGCAAGCAACCTTCTTCCATTTCCCGGCGCATCCAACAGACGTCGAACTCGCCGCCCGTCGGCCCTCGCGCCGCGGCGACGATCTCGAGCTCGACCAGCGCCAGCTCCTCCTCTCCTCGCCCGGTAGTCACTCTCACCCCCAGCAGCATCAGCGGGACAGCCAAGAATGCACGGAGCTCGCGCCCCCGCTGCCGCCGCAGGCGACGCACTACTGGACCAGCGACCGCACGCGGAGGCTTGAGTACGCCGCCATCGACGCCGCAAGGACGGGCGTCAAGGGGTGGATGAAGAGGCATCTTGTTCCGGACTGCTTTGTGCCCAAGGAGAAGCACGTTGCGTTCGACGACGACACGGGTAGTGTGCGGCGGTACAGGCTCGAACTTGATGAGGACATGCCGTGCGAGAAGGGGTGTGGTGGGCGGAAGAGGGGTTGGTTTGGGTGGACTCGCTCCAAGACGGCTTGAGTCTCCTTTGCCTTCATACGCTTCTTGCTTGATTTTTACGTCGTTTTCTCTTTTGGTCTTTGATGCTGGTGTTGAACGTCTGGGGTTTTGATTTCGGAATCATGGATTGGAAAGGGGATGGGAATTGCATTGACATCATTGAGTCGGCGCGGCATTTGCACAAGCGGCTGGGCAAGGCTGCATTGGCGTTTTATACCCAGCATTTGGTATCGTTGGATTCTTCGTCATACTTTTGTTTCCTTCTTTTCTTTATTGCATAATCTTGTTTTTAATGTTTGATTGTTCTGGTTGTTGAGATTCTCTTGGAAACGGGGGATGAAGACACGGAGAGAGTTGAAGTTTGAGTATCAGAATGGCATAGCGACACATAGATGATAGACGACGACACGAGACTTGGAAGATTGGAGAGAAGCGAGTCAGAGAAACAAATGTCTTTTTGAGGGCTACAGTTACTCGTATACAGACTGATAGTTATTTACACATGTAGTCTCCAAGAGATTCAATTACATATCCACATACACGCCTATATTATATTTTACATGCCTTCTTTGACAATGTCATTGGCCGTGACCTTCATCAATCATACTTGCCCGTGGACAAGTGAGGCTCTTTTCATCTGATATTCCCATTAAACTGCCATCTGATGTTGTGGCAGATAGTGTCAACGTCTTCCAGCCTACTGCAACACCACTGAATCTCTGCATACACCGCTAGTCTCCAAGACCCATTTGCAAAAAGCCTACATGAGCCTATCTTTCTGCACACTCGAAAAGCCTGGTGTCCTCCCGCCCGTCCGGAGCCGGAACACATTAGGCGGACCGGACCGGACAAGCCGCCATTCCGGGCGAAAGAAGCGGTGAAGAATTGAGTTATCACGACCCGCTTTGGGGGCTTCGCTAGGAATCTTGCGGCTCTTCCCCAGGGCCGGGGGTCAGTATTAATAGGGGCTAGCCGAGATTCATGCCAGTCCTTTCTTGCTAAAACAGTGACTCCGGTGATGACCGGAGCCGACTAGCTAGGGGTCCTGTAGACATGGCATCCGACTTCTGGCCTGAGAATGCAGAGGCTGGCGGTGTTGCTGATACACGTTATGCGTGAGGCTGAAGTCAACCACCTCTTGTCTCCCGTCGATCTTCGATAGTGTCATATTAAGTTGCTATCTACTGGTCTCTCTCTCGTCGGCCTACACATCAACGACTTCACCGCCTATCCCAGCCACATCAGTCCCGTCAGAAAGCATCGCAGCCGCGAACCCAATCCTCCTCGCGCGGACACACAAGGACTACTGAAACTTCCGATCTCATCCCGAGATTCGACCCTCAAACTCAAGATAGCCTCACCTCGCGGCCTTGACGCACTCAATCACGGCAAGGTGCCGCCACGGTCCCTGACCCGTAGACACGCTCTTGATCGCGAGGCCCGCCCTCCCGAGAATGTCGGTCCAGCACTCGATCGATCTTTGCTTGCCGCCGAAGGTAAGCATCATGAAGTCGAGCATCGTGGAGGTGTAGTGCGGCGGGTTTCCCATCACGTCCTCCTGGATCAGGAGCCGACTGTCCTCCGCCATGGCCTCGGCGATGATGCGGAGCATGTTGACGCCCAGCTCGTCGCCGTAGTTGTGTAGACACCGGCGGATCCAGTAGGTCAAGGCACCTTGAAGTCATGACACGGTCAGCTACCAGCCTGGAGACTCCTTGCCATGTACAGGCAAGTGCATCTGGCTTCACCAAGCGATGAACCAGCGAAATCTCGAGAAGATATTATCTCACCTTTAACAGGCTGCTCCTTGTGGAAATCAATAACCTGCTTCTGCACCAACCTCATATCCTCATCATCAAGCTTCCTCACAGCCTCCACCACCTCAGCACGATCCTGCAACACACACCTCTCCAGCGGGAGCCCGGGGTTCTCGCGATGAATCGCCTTGATAGACTGGCCCCGTCCTGCGCCGACATCGACAAAAAGCGGCCGATCACCCGCGTTCTCACGAGCATACTCGACAACCCACCCAAAGTCGTAGATACCCGAGATGGGCATCTTCTCTTCGATGGGGCCCATGGCGCGCAGGAACCGCTGCATCCGCGGCGGGTCGTGCTGCAGCATTTCGTACCAGCCGTACTCTGGCACGCCGTATGCGTAGGTGCCCGGGACGTTGTTGAGAGTCTGCGGTTCCTTGCGACCATACTTTTCAAAGTAGGCTGGCATGTGGACGTACGGTACCAGGCCGTTTTCCCATCTACACTAGGGTGTTAGTAAGGCATTTAGAGGGCAATGGTTGAGGGATGGGAGGGAGAGAACAGACGCCATGCCAACGATTTGTCCCGCTGGGTGACCGTCGATGTAGATGCGAGAGCGCTTTGTGTGCGCGACGGAGTCGTCGCCGACTTGTTGTAAGATGCCCATTGAAGTTAACACACCACCAGTCCGTCCTGAAAAAGTGTTACCAGAATATTCCCAATAGCTTCAATGGGTTGGCCCTGAGGCAGTGCATTTCAAACTCACGTATCAGCGATACATCAGCGTCGACCTTCTTGGCCAGTTCACCGTACGAGATACTGCCTTCGGATGGGATGTGATCATAAACCTTCCATTCCCAAAAGAGCCGGTTCGCGCCCAGCTGCGCGACCTGCGCCGTGGCATCGAACCACTCATCGCCGGGATCTTTGACGGCGTTGATGAGCTTATTCGCCGCATCGATGATGCGCCGCCGTTGGCCCTTGTCCAAGTCACCTCCGGACGGACCGGGACTCGTCACGAAGCTCTGGAGGGCCGCGTTGACTTCTTCCGTCGCTGCCGCGGCCTCCTCCCGGATCTGAGCGCCAATGTCGCTTGTCATTTTCGGTGTGGGACCCCGAAGCAAACAAAGTTCTACCGGGTCGCTGAACGGCGCGGAATCTGCACGGCCGTGTTACACGGGGAATGTGATTACGTTCCCTTTCCGAACGAAGTTATGTGGATTCTGCTGCAGGTTTGCAGATCAACGGTGTGATTGCATGGGAAGCAAGTTGACTACGCCGCACGGGAAACCGGGCACACGGGATTTGACAGGCGTCGCGTTGTTGGAGAATGTACGAGTACGGAATGTGGGTGAGATGGGATGATGAACTGTGCCGTCCAGTAACAAGTCAAGCGCACATAAAGTTTTAGCAATGGATGTTGAGATCGGAGAGGGGAGCAATGACTTGAGGGGAGAGGAAAAAGCGCGCAAAAAAAGAACCTTTGGTCCGCATTTCCCTCCTGATGCGCCTCAAGTTCCCAAGCTTCTCCTCACTCGATGCGGTGATGCTACGTCCAGGGATGGACGGTAGCTGGATGCGGCAGCTCGGTGTGGTGTCTCAACCCACGTCGGTGAAAACGTTCCGCGGTCGTCTAGTCCTACATGTTTCTGCATGAATTGGGGACACATTCCTCGAAGGATCGGAGGGGTTTCAACCGGCTAGCCAATGGCGCAAACGCAGCTACTGTCAAGCTAAAGCAGCACAACCAGTCGAGCCACAAGAATTGAGTGAAAGAGGAGGGGGCCACAGACGTGGACTGACGGTCCGGCGGCTGGAGGACCTCGACTTTCAGAAGAGGAGGGGGGGGGGGGGGGGAAGAGGAGAAAGAAGGACCGCGTGCTTGAAAGAAACCCGGCCAAACAAGACGGAGAAACAGAGACATCTCGGAGCGCCACTGAATGACGGCAGAGCGTTCAGCTCTCTCACAGACACAATCGAGGAGTCTGCCGTGTCCAGCTATTCTGCTCAAGGCCCACGCTCCGGGAATAGTCTGGTGAGAAAAGGAATCGGCCTCTGTACTAACACCTCTAGACTGTGGCGCCGGTCTCCTACCAAACCCGGCTAAAGTTGTTCAGGACGCAGCTTGATAGGTCTGTTGAGCAAAGAGGATGGCGCAGGGGCATTAAAGTCGACTGAGCCGACATGCCACTTTGGTACGCAGACACAATTCAGAGGCCCAGACGTTTCCTTTTCGTCGAGCTGCTGCTGATGTGCCGCTGACAGACAAGAACAAAAGGTCCGAAGCCGTAGGGTAAGGAATGTAGAAAAAAGAAACAAACGAACCCCGAAACTCCGGTCTCAACGGCTTTCATTGTGGGCTTTTCCTGTCTTCCACTTTCTTCTTTTTCTTCGCCAGATGGTCATTCGACTTTGCTCATACCAGACTGGCTCGGTCCACGTTATTCCCCCCTAACCACTCTGCCTTTCTCCTACGTACGGGGTGCCGCTCCCAAGGAACCGTTTAAGGTTTCTGACAGAAAGACACTTATGTTCCTGGACCTGGTCAAAGACCCCAGCACGCGCTCCCCCTCTCCGTCTCATTCTTACGTTCGCGAATCTCAGTTCAACGTCCAGTTCGGGCACATCCTGGCCAGACACACGAGCCCTCACTTGAGAACCCCAGGCGACGTCGATCGGAGACGGCGGTATCAATCGCTCCTCGGTGACAGAGTCGAGCAGGAACCGCGGGAAGGGAAACGGGACAGAATAAGCCGCTCGTACGTCTTCTTCTTGAGCCTGGTTTGAGCCAGCATCGCACAAGTCATGGCGGACACCACCACAGCAAGGGCAGAAGCCGACCAGCCCGAAAAGTCACCCTCCCCCCCTCTGCCTCAATCGGGACACCGCTCGCGATCAGGATCGGGCGGACGGCAGACACCACCACAGCAGGACTTTGAAGCGGAGAACGTGGTCGAGGCCGACACGGAAGATGACGGCGCGTCGTCTCGGGCGGGGGACGAGGTCTGGGACGAAGGGTTTGACGGCAGCAGCATCGGCAACCACTCGGCCTCGACGTCGCTATCCAATAGCGTGCGCGACTACGTCTTTGAGAACACCCGGCGGTATCACAAGTACATGGAGGGCCGGTACCTGATGCCCAATGACGAGCCGGAGCAGGAGCGCGAGGATATGAAGCATGCCATGTGCGTCAATGTCATGGATGGAAAGCTTCATTGCGCGCCGTTGGAGAATCCGCAAAAGATTATTGATATTGGTACGGGGACGGGGATCTGGGCTATTGATAGTGAGTTCCCTTTTCGCATGATCGTCTGCTTTTAAGTCTGCTATTTCGATAGCGTCTTCATGATAGACATGATGGCATCTAGACGATTAGTCTTGACAAACCTTCACCAGACGACATTCTTGAATGCCCAAATGAGCTTGAGCAAGTACTGACACCATCTCAAGTGGGCGATGAGTACCCAGAAGCAGACATATCCGGCATCGACCTGAGCCCAATCCAACCAACCTGGGTACCCCCCAACGTCCGCTTCGTCGTCGACGACGCCGAGGCAGAATGGGTCTGGCCGCCCTACTCCCTCGACTTTGTGCACGCGCGGCACATGTGCATGGCCGTCAAGAACTGGCCGCGCATGCTCTCCCAAGCTTTCACCGCACTGAAGCCGGGTGGCTGGGTCGAGCTGCAGGAGTTGCGGTTCGTCCTGCAGTGCGACGACGGGACGATGCCCGGACCCGAGGAGTACGGCTACGGCAAGTTTGTGGACCTCTGCATGTCCGGGTTCCGGAGCTTCGGCATCAACCCGCTGGCGATGGAGAGGAACTCGGAGATGCTCCGCGAGAGTGGGTTTGAGAATGTTGTTGAAAAGGTGTGGAAGGTGCCCATCGGGACGTGGCCGCGGGACCAGAAGCTCAAGACGATTGGGTTGTATAACCGCAGCATGCTCATTGATGCGCTTCAGGCCGTGAGCATGGCGCCGTTGACGAGAGGGCTCAAGTGGAGTCCTGCCGAGGTGGAGGTTTTCTTGATTGATGTGCGGAAGAGCCTGATGAATGTGTCGATACACTCGTATCTGACGTTCCATGTGGTGTTCGGGCAGAAACCTTATGACAGCTACTAGATATGAGAGAGATTTGGCGTTTGCTGGTATAGGAGTTTGGCAGTGGTCGCCCCAAGGTTGTACGGAGTTGAGAGGAGGATTTCTCAGCCATCAACTTAGGATTCATTCGATTTCATCAGGGCCAAGATGTCCGTGAACTATCAGCACCGAGTGCCACGGATACTTCATTACGTGGCAAGCCACCATTCTCATATGCCCTGCTCAATGAACCAAGACAGAATGTTCAAGCAGGCCGTCTATGTAGGGTACCTAAAGTCTCAAGGAGTCTCTGGCCGAGGGTACTAGATGTTCCCCTCAACTAATTGACAAGTACCCCCAGCACGATCTGAGATTCCCCGTTGATCTACACATCAATCACAACATCAGCGACAACAGGTCGATGATCTGATATATACACGCCATCGTCAAAATGGTTCGGCAGAACCGCATGAGTCAAAACCTCCATCCCTCTAACCGCCGGATTGCGCACAAACAAATGGTCAAGAAACGTATCATCCGACGTGTCATCCGTGAACGCAGTGTACGTCTTCGAGTATCCCACCCTCCTAGACTCAGGAACTACATCCCGAACATCGTGCAAGTTTCCATCCGCGATCAAAATCTGATACGCCGCATTATCCGGCTCGATGTTCAAGTCGCCGCCCAGAAACACCGGCACAGCCCCCTCTGTCGAGTTCTCCCACTCCTTCGCCAAGCTGACCAAGAGCTCTGCACTATGTTCCCTTGCAACCTGGCCCACGTGGTCAAAGTGCGTGCACATATACACCAGCGGCAGTCCACTCTCTACATGCTGGAACGACGCGACGGTGACGATGCGCGGGAGCGCGGCGTCCCAGCCCTTGGACCCGGGAACATCAGGTGTTTCGCTCAACCAGTACGTCCGGTTCTCCGTGAGAGTCCAAGTGCCCGGCCGATAGTAGATTGGCGAAAACTCCCCAGCAGCGACGCCGTCATCACGGCCGACGCCGACGTGGGACCAGGCTTGGCCCAGGTCTTGGGCGATGTCGAGGAGTTGTTCTTCGACAACTTCTTGCATGCAGACAAGTGATTCGGGCCGGGCTGCGGTCTCGTAGTTGAGCTGAGAGAAGAGGTGAGGTCTGCGGGCGGACCAAGGTGCTTCGTTGGTTCCTGGGTCTGGGGTGGCCCAACGGATGTTGTAGGTTATGAAGCGTAGAGCGAGGTCGGATGATTGGCAACTGACCAGGCTCGCTCCAAATAATAACGTTGTGACCAGGTAAGACTTCATTGCTGCTTGAAAGGAAGTACGCCTTAGACTCGTTTTACATGTGGCACGGCAGTACAAAATGAATGGAACCAGAACAGCATTTATGACTAGAATCTTTGGTCTGAAGGCTTCCGGAACCTTTACTCTTCGAAACACACATGTTGAATACGATCGGGTGAGGGGAAGCACACTGAGAATCCGGATGGCACGCTCGCAGCTGCAAGTCGTCGTCACATCGTTATTTCAACAAGTCTATCTCTTGACCTTCCGCTTCAGGTTACCGTTAGGCCGGCAATGTTTACCCACGTTTCTCTGATCGACGGCGGGCTCCGGGTTCACGTGGGATCCCAGTGGCCGCTCATTCGCCGAGAAAGTGGATACCATCCGGCCAAGGAGGGGTCGACGCCGGGTCGGAGGCCTTTTCAAGGTGATGGGGCAGCACGGCATCGGGCTTCTCCCCCTCGGAGCCCGCGTCTAGTCTATCGGCTTACTGATGAACTTAACAATCATCACTAGAAGGAGCTCTTGAGCCTCAAAAAAGTCGCTCGAAAAGCTCCATGCCATCATCCCTTCTTAGCTTCTTCGAAGCTTACCCGGTTGAGGCATAGATCGCTGCGCTTGTCTGTTTGGCACTGAGGCTCTGGGCCTCGAACTTGTCTTTTCAAGGTTCATGGGATTATGAGAATGGATATCTCGCTCGCCAGCCAAGACACTCGATCCCAATCTTGCGCCTCAGCAAATTGCCAGAGCTCCTGAATTTCGACCAGCACCGAAACTCTCTTTTTGCCAAGATTTGCCCCAGGTGCTATCCCTAAGGGGGTTCACCGCTCAACACATAACAGTTTCAACGATATTTCAACTCCTCTTGAGTCTTATCAGATCATGTCCGCGGGCTGGAAATGGCATTTTGCCCGAATAGTACTTTCCCTGTACTCAAGCTTCACCGTTATCCTGCATTCTTACCGCAGTACCTATAGGTGGCAGTGAGAATCGACACAGGTTCACACCCACGAGCAACTTCTCTTCTTGGCTCGGCTATCGGATCTGCCCTGTCTCGCACTGACATAAAAGCCGGATATTCCACTTTGTGCGTAAATCCTCAATAATACGAGCCACGAGGTTCTCCTCCTCGTCCACCCACATTCCCGATCCATTATTGGGGGCTGGGCCGCAGGGCAGGTGTTCCTTCGTTGGAAGCTGGGCTCCATCCAGTTCATTTATGCATTGATGCTGAAGAGGCCAGAGCGCCGTTCAGGGGCAGAGCTTCTTGCAGGGACAGGGTTCAAACACGTGTGCTGACAGCCACTATGTTCATGATGCCCGGTGGGATCTTTTCTGCCCATTTACTTTTTGTCACCCATGTGGAGTTTCTGCTGTCAAAGAAGCGGAACAGAGGCTAAAACAAGAGGGTTTTTGGGTCATCATTGGCTAGTGGGAGGATTTCTGCTGCAGTTATTTTGGCCACTGCCTTGGTTTTTGATTAATTTCCGTTGACAAAACGCGCACGTCGGGTTGGAGTAAGGTTGCATCCCAAGTGGATATTCTACAGGATTTTATACATTAGTCTGAACACTAGCATCCGTACCTTTGACATTCCAACATCCACCCGGCTATTCACGTCCCTTCCTTTCAGTGACGATCCAGAGACCCAGAACGACCTCCTGAATCTCTCATGTCGTGTGACATTTCAATGTCGACCTGATATGTGTACTTCGCGTGAATGCCGCCCTTCTGGTCGCTCGGCAGCAAATCCCCCTTATCTGAGTCGCCGTCCTGGAGGCGTTCCCAGGTCTCGTCCCCTCTGCCGTGCACCGTAGCCAGGCTGAAGCCCACGTCGGTCGGGTTGCGGAATCGGTCGCGGCTCCTGGGCTCGAGCGGCTTGCTTCCGATGGTGAAGAGACCCGTTTTGGTCCCGCTCCCGCTCGGGTTCGTCTTTTCCGACGTGCCGCGGGTTCGCGCGATGAAACGGCGTAGCGAGGGGACCGATGAGGCGATGCAGCCGATTCCGGTCTCGATGTTGGAGCAGAGCATCGTGTGGGCGACCCAGACTGGAAAGGCCCCTGGTCAGTTTTTCCATGACGCAATGGATTTGATTCTTGGGAACCGGAAGAAGGGGAGAAGGGCTTTACTCACATTGAAGGTCTGTCTGGCCTTTGAATTTGTTGACATAGGGGATACGGACCATGGTGATGATAGATGCCCTGGAGCTGCGTTAGTCTTGATGTCGTGGTCTGCTTTTTTACAATGGTCAAACTTACACCGAGGCAAAGGACAACAGTCCAAAGACCTGGAGCTTCGTCTGCGTCTTCATCTGCGTGCCCCAGAGAATGATAGCAGGCACAACAACCAAAGCCAAATCCGTCACAATAGCCGAGCTCGTCGCAACGTGGCCGATGGCGATGAGGACATCAACAGAGCTGCACGTTCCCTCGCCACTAAGAATCATTGTGGGCGTCCAGATGGCCTCGACCGGCTGACAGTATAACAGCGTTCCGATGAAAGTGATCATGAAAGAAGCCCACGTGACGCCGAGCAGGACCCAGACCGTGATGCGCAGAGCATTGTTCGTCGTAATGATTCTTTGGATGGTGAGGCAGACGGATGACTTGACGAGGGCGAGGGCGACGACGTATATCAAGATCCAGATGATGTAGATCTTGAGGGCCTCTGAAAACATCCACATGTTGAGCTTTTCTTGCAACGTGCCCAACCCGACGAGGCAGCCGTATATCGTCAGTCCCACACTTGGTACGTAAACCACCTTTTCACAGGGCAGATTAGCGAAGCTATCCGGTTTCTTCGAAATTATAAGAGTGGCATACCGTTCCCGCGAGCATCAGTCCATCATCTAGGCCAAATGTGCCCTCAACGAGGCGCACGCTCGTTCGTACGCCGACACATATCACCGATATGACGAGGAAGACGGATGATATGATGATGATGGCTAGTGGCAGGTGCTCCGGCTCGAGGATTCGTAGATCGGGGTCGACATTCGTTGACAAGGACATATTGGGCGACACGTGGTCTTTGATCAAATCCTTTCTTTTCGTTAAGAAGCAATCCACCCTCACGCCACGGTTTTCGAATGTGGTGTTGACAACAAAAAGTAGGCACTCCCCGAGTTATAAACCTCCGGGTAGAACCCTCTTCGGGGCTTCAAGTGCCGCAGCCGCAGCCTGCAGATCTATACTACTAATGCAGGGGAGCAGGATGGGTCGCTTGGGAACTAAATTCAGTTCCGGTAGTAGGAGGCGGCGTAGCAGTGGTAGTCTTGGGTCTTGGACTGCTCGAAAAGATCAGAACCGGGGATCATGTTCCTGGTTTCCATGGATGCAACCCCAGATATTAACATTTGGGGGGCGCTACTTTGACACTTTGACACTTCGAGAACTGTCATAGACCTCGTAGATGCTCATAGGCTTGCCACTGGTCGAGAAAACCTGATGCAACCAACAGGGACCGCCTTCCAACAAGAAGGGGGCCATAGACCCATGGGCCATGGCAACCGGATGGCCTGGAAGAGGAAAAAGGTCAAGAAGCAGTTCTCGAACTGGGTCTTATTTGCCCACTTTCCCGTCACCAATGATCACTAATGAAGGAACCGGTCTTCAGGCCGAGAAGGCCCGGGTTGGTTGGAATTGGGGGCCGCTAGCGAAGGCGGCACAACGCTCAGGGGTCCGTTGCAAGAGGATGAGCATCCACCGCTCAAGGACTCCACAGCACTAGGCGAAAGACATCACCAACGTCCGAAGAGAAGCGTCGAAAAAGTTGCATGGAAGGACGGGCTTGACAGTTGACCAATGACGGGATCTGACATGTCGCATGGCAGAACGGCGCTAGTTGGAGCAGCGAAATCCTCTGCCACGATCGTTTTTGGGGGTTGAAACATGTCGATCACTACGACGTCGAAGGGGGCCACAATTGGGATCTTCGCCGGCCACAGTAAGTATTCTACGATGGAATTGTGGGAGCCGTTGTTGGACGGTCATCTCGTACGAGGATAAGACGAGCCGTTCTGCCGCTTTCGGGTTCCAAGATGTGATATGCCCAGTTCTGATCTGACCGGTCAACGCCCCCCGGTTGTGAAAAGCTCGAAAGAAAGAGACAACCAACCCGAGCCGTACCGAATAGGTTTATTCGTTCATCCTGGGGCACACATGCACGGGGGTTTCTATGCGTAGCGAGACGAGGGCATCCACTCTGGTATGCATGTTTTTGGAATAGTTGAGATTAAGAAATAAACTAAGACGGCCGCGAACGCGGCACTTGTGATAATTAAGTCTAACCATGGGAAACAATCTAAGACTGTTAGACTATCGTCACCCGCACGCCATTCGACCCCGGCTTAGTCACGGGAATGAACATGTCGTGATCGTAAGCAACGTCCTCGTCCGTCGTCTCATACAGACGCATCTTGGGTAGAACACGCAGAGCAAGCGCCGTCAAGCACAAGTTGAGCTCACACAAGGCAAGGCTGTTCAAAAACAAGTCAGCAAACACGGTTCCCACCAAGTCAAGAAGATTTCAACTCACTTCATGCCTAAGCAAGATCTGCTGCCCTTGGAAAAGGCAAGCATACCCTTCTCAACATCCTTTCGGCGTTGGTTGTTCTCGTCCAGCCAGCGCTCGGGAATAAACTGATACGAGTCGGGGAACACAGTCTCGTCATGGTGCGTGATCACAGCAGACATGCCAACAGCGTAGCCAGCAGGAATGACATACTCGACAGGCTTCTTGTTGAACTCGCCGCGGTAGACCAGGTTCTCCTCAGTAGGCACACGAGCAGTACGCGCAGAGACACCGTACGAAAGGCGAAGGCCCTCCTGGAGGACAGCACCCAGATAAGGCAGGTTCTCGAGACTCGTCCAGCCGGGGAGGTGCTTGGGGTCGTCGACGACGGCCTTCAGCTCGTCCTGGAGCTTCTTGAGCAGATGGGGCTTGGTGAGGAGGTGGTACGTGATGACGCCCAGGGCCCAGCTGGTGGTCTCGGTTCCCGCGCCCACGACGGCGGCCGCCTCGTCGGCTAGGCGCTGTGGGTTCTTCTCGAGCAGCTCCAGGTCTGACTCCAGGAGGGACCCGAAGACTGTGGGGCGCTCGTGCCGGATGCCGGCGTCGAGCTCGGCTTTGGTGTGCTTCACCTTGTTGGGAATATCAATCTTGAGCGTGCGGATGAGCAGGGCAATGTCGGCAGGTAAGTAATCCACAAGCCTTTTGAGAGTTAGCATTTTCCATTGCGTCCCGGAATTGTAGATGGGCTCAAGAAGCAAACATACCACTCTCCAAGAACGGCAAAGGACTTGGTCCAGGGAAAGAAACGGAAGACAAAGACAGGTCTCAGGATGGAGGCAGTCGGCTCCCGAAAGTTGGGGTACCAGCCGTCTTGTCTGAGGAAACCGAAGCTCTCACCGAAGCAATATCCGGAGATAGCGTCAGAGGTGAAGCAGCTGTAAGCCATTGTCACGTCGAAAGCCTCCCGCTGAGAAAGCAGCTTGTCGCAAAGCTTCTGGACCAGATCGTGAACGTCGCCTTCGAGGCGCGCAATATTCCCGCGAGAGAAGAACTTGGCCAGGGGGATGCGACGAACGCGATGCGAATCATGGTTCACGGTTCCGAAGCCAGACTCGCCCAAGCTAGAGAACAAATATTTGATAAGCACTACTGCTCTTAGGCGTTCTCATCTACGTATGAAGTACTCACGCAGAACCGTTAATCTGGTGGACAGGCTTGTCGCGCTTGCGACCACTGACGGCGTAGATATCATCTGAAAAGTTGACGTCGTTGCAGTGTACTTCGTGGGGGCTGATGCGGACGATGGGGCCTTTGCGACAACGTTAGATTTCGTCTTGAGTTTCCCGAAGAGTGCAGCTAGACTTACCATACTGCTCGTGCATGCGGCTAATCTCCCTGGTGTAGCGACCGAAAAGAATGACATCGTAGTAAAATTCGGGGATGTATGTGGCTGCAGACAGTTTAGGTCCGGGAATGTGGCTCAAAGGATGCAAAGGCGAGATGTTGTAGAGCGCCTTTGCAACCTGGTACAGCAGCCATAGGCCGGCAAGACCGAGCACGGTACGGGCCGAGAGGTACGACGAGGAGACGTCGAGGGGCGACGACGTAGTCTCGATGGTTGACATTGTGTTATTCCTGATTCGCCAGGGAACGGGAACTTGGGAAGGATGAGAAGGAAGCTTTCAATCACGGAATCCAGAGAGCAGAGGAGAAAGGCATTCTTCTTCGTCTCTTCTCTCGCATCTCCCAAGACTTGCGCCACGGTAGAATGTGTGGAGAGTCCGGGGTGGGATGAAGATAGTCAAAGGGGCGGTCCACACGTTCTGCATTTGACCTACACCCGAAAAAGCCAGAGCACCGAAGTTTACAACGTTGGAGACATGGGTGGGTGGCGTGAGCGATCAACGGGACGCGCAGGCAAGAAAACCCCGAAGAACGGCAGATGTCTCTTAGTTGTAGGTGTAGGTTCCTCATACGTGAAGGGTAAGGCGAATTGGGCTCGGAAAACTGATCATGGGCGTTCTAGGCAATCCGAATGGATGGTCTGACATTCGCACGGCAGCAATCCATTGTCTGTTCGCGCTGCAACGACACACGCAATCCCTGAATTAGGGTGCAACGGCTTTTTTCGGTGGCTCAAACTTGAACCAAAGTTGCCTAACTCGGAGATGTCAAACGGCCCGCTAAGGGGGGAGGGGGAGCTGGCTACATGGAGATTTTCTTTTCTGGTCCCGGCCAGTTGGTTGGTTGAAGAATGAGGATCCCTGAAGATTGCGGCCATGGGAAACCCTCCTTTTCTATCCCCTTGTTCAAGTTGTGGGACCCCGGACTTCTTTCGGCCATATGAAAGCCCCTAATTACGTTGCAGCCAGCGTCATTCGGTACACGTGTAGATTGGCGCGGGGAGTCGTATTCAGTGCCCGCTCAGTCTCTGGAAAGGGAATGGAAATCATGAGTGATGGAGCCTCTGGGCAGGCCGGAGTTTCGGACAACGCACCGAGTGAGTTGAGCCGACAATCATGCTCGATCGGCCTGCGGGGCCGAGTATCCACCCCGGAGCACTGCCGTACCTGGCGCCGGCTGCCTGCCAAAATTCCGTTGAACACCGTGCTTACCACTCCGGTGGTGCCACAGTTCGGTATTTGAGGCGCAATATGAATTATCTGGCAATTTTGAGCAATCATACTTAGAGGCAACTAAATGGAAGGCTTTTTAATGGTGGAAGTGAGTTCTTTTCCACTTGTGGATGGTTTTCTGTTCAGAAGAGGATCTTCGATTTCTGTGAAGGCCACTAAAGATTTCTTGGAGTCCAAAAAAGAACATGTAACTACCTCACTGAATGCTTCACTCCGCAAATATTGATAAGGGCACCCTGCACCGGACTGCTCTTGATAATGATGATGATGATGATTGAAGTATGCTCGCGACCTTAACAGTATTTGGTGTCACCAGGAGGAGCGCACTTGCAGGCCGGTCCATCAGCTGCTTGCCAAGGAACGCAGCACTATGGAGTCAATGATTAGCATCAATCCATAGCCTTTTTCAGGTGTTAATGATGAACGTACCCAGCTACCGGCGCATTCGCCAGCGCCACCGCAGTTGGCCTTCCAGCAGTTGATTTGCCTGACGAAGATGGCAGAGGCCGCCTCGCCGACCGGATTCGCCAAGGCGAGGGGAGCCGATACGAGGAGGATGAGGTTTGCGAGAGTGATGGGCTGCATGTTGGGCGAAGTGGTGCGTGAGAGTGAGGCTTGGTGGCGAACTGTGGCTAATGATGGTAATGCAATGACGAGGAGAAAAAGAAGTAGAGTTGTAGAGGACATTGTCGATATCTTATACTTGTAGGGCAGAATGTGAATTCCTCGATTGACTCAAGATGCCAGTTGGAATACAGGGCTAGCAGATGATCACATTGCTGTGTTAGTCAGAATTCTGGTGATGTCGTTTGGCACCAGCCATTGTTAGAAAGATTTGGAATCAGTTCCTGATACCATGAGCC